AGGTCCTTGGCTGGGGGGGATGGAAACGGCTCTATTAATGGAGCCTCTTTGTTTTCCATCAGCTTTGATTGGGTCGTGATGGTCTGGACCTATTGAGAGCTGGGGCATGGAGGTGCAGCGGAGACCAGGTGCCCGAGCTTCTGGAGAATGAAATGGTGGGCCTGTTTGGGAGGGGAGCAGGACCTGTCATGGCTGAGCAGGGGGGTGTTGGGGTTGTCCAGGTCATGCTGCACTAAGCTAGAGAAGTCGGGCCCTTGGACCATGCGAGCCCCGAGCCCTCACTGTGGCCCTGCCACCAGGCAGCATGCATGGAGCTGGCTGAAGGTGCTGGCTGCAGCTGCTGCAGGTTGCCCTAAGGAGGCTGCCGGACCTGCTTCTCTGTGCCAGGCAGGCTCTCTCTCAGAAATTATGCGCCCAGCGCTTTCCTCTTTGAAACTAATCGCCTTTACAGCCAGGGCACGCCCGCATGCACAGCCCCGCCTGGGCCTCAGTCACTGCCCTGGCACTTGCTGCTGCAGCACTGGTGGAGGGGGCCTGATTCTCACTTGGGTGCAAAGTCCTGTATTCTGTGTCCCCACCCAGCTCCCAGCTCCCTTGGCACTTTTCCCTTGCTTTCCTGAGAATCAGTCCCACACCAGCTTTTCCCTTTACACCCCATGGGACCTCTTGTTCAGCCCCTGCCCTGTCCAAGGGCGCTATCAGGTCTGACAAGCTTCACTTATGAGACGGTAGACACCGAACCTCTGAGACATACCCCTCTGGGGAACAGAGCATCTAGCCATCCTGGGCAGCCCCTGGGATGATGGAAGGAAGCCAGGAATGACTTCTTCCACCTCCACTCAGCTGGCCCAGTGGTGTTTTGGATGGGGATTGTCTAGCCTCAGGAGCTGCAGTGTTCAACTAGCTCATAGCACAGGGCAAGAAAGCAAAGGAGAGAAGGGTACGACAGTTGTCCCTACCTGCATGGCATTGCTAGCATAGGGGCCATGGCCATCCAGTGTTGGATGCAGGCTACTGCCCCTTCTTAACACACACCTAATCTCCTCCACGGCCTTTTTCCACTTCGCAGACATGTCTTCTAAGCTGAGGTTCTTGGCCGACGGTAAGCTGCCCAGGGGGCTGACGAAGGTGCCCCGGCTGATGTGGGGGTCGCTCAGTTTCCTGGGCAGGTGGGTGACGATGCCATTGGGGATGACATCAGAGTTGGTCCTCCGTAGCGGTCCAAAGCGGTCCCTCACTTCAAAGTACTCTCCGGAGGTGGACGAGGCAAAGGAGCAGCGGCCGCTGAGCCCAGCCGAGCTCTCGGAGCAGCTGTGGTCACTGAATGTCATGTACTCGTCGCCCTCATCCTCGTCCCCTCCCAGCCCATTCTGGGTGCAGGCAGCAGGCGGGGACTGCGGGTGGTGGGTGGCCTTGGTGTGAGCTATTGGGCAATTACCACGCGGCTCGTGGTCAGCATGTCCCTCCTGTGCCTCTGTGGGCTGGGGCTGCCCCCTGCCCTCTTCCCTATTGCTGCAGAGCGCATCGTATTTTGTGGTCGAGTCCTTGACAAGGGCAGTCCTTGGCTTTGGGACAGGGGGTCTCGCATCCATGCCATGGGTCTCAGGTGGCCTCAGATGCTGGCCCACAGCCAGGGTGGCAAAAGGACCTCCTGCCTTCTTCTCAGTAGCCTTCGCATCCAGACGTGTCCCAGGCATGGGGGCTCTCGCCATTGGGACTGGAGCCACCTCCTTTGGGGTTGGAGCAGACTCGTGGCCGTGGCTCTTGTTGCCTTTCAGCTCCTTGCTTTTCATCATCTGCCTGTGCTGGGCATTGGCCTGGGCCACATCACACACCTTGATGCGGTTCATCTGGGACAGCTTCACGTTCTTGATCTTGGGGTCGAAGATGTTGATGTAGCCCAGGACTTCACTGCCTGGCTCTGGGTCGGGCTCAACCCAGGTGGGCAGGTAGTCGAACATGTTGGCTTTCTCCAGGTTCAGGAGGCCGGGGTGGATGGGTGGAGCTGGCTCCATCACGTCACTTTGCTGCTCAGCAGCTGTGTGGGCCCCAGGAAGGGCCTTGCTTTTGCTGCCGGCCGCCTGGTTTTGGCCGTCGGCCGCCTGTTTCGCGGAGGATAGCTTGGTGATCTGATCTGCACTCTTGGCCTTCACCAAGGCATATTTGGGGTTAATCAGCTTCTTCACCACGGCACTGGCAGGAGTCACCGGTGAAGCAGTAGGTAGTGCCACTGGCTCAGGCTCGGGCTCCTCTGCCACGGGGATGGATTTCAGGCTGAGCCCCCGGGACAGGAGGTACAGCTCCTGAAACTGCTTGTCGAACGCTTCCACCACTTGGCCAGAGAGCACCGTGATGACGTTCCTGTCTGTCCTTGCTGCCGACCAGGTAAAGCTGGAATGGAAAAAGAAGCCTGGCAGTTCAAAAAGAAGCCCTGAGCGCACAGCAACAAGCAGCCCTGCCAGGCCCTCCACCCCCTGGCTCGCTGTTCCCCCTTTCAGAGCTGCCGGCAGCAGTGGTTCGCCGTGTGAGTGAAGTCAGGCAGAAGACAGGGCAGGGTGGCACCGTAAAGGCTTAGCGAGGTGTGAAAACACTGCACTAGTTAGTCTCGCAGAGCTGGGCAGGAAATGGTTTCTGCACCTGGCAGAAATACTTTGTGGTTTGTTTTTTTAAACTCTTGTCCTGCCTTAGGAGGAGGAGCTAACATCATAAACATTTCCCCACCTTGAAAACATAAAAAGGGAAAAGCCTCCCATTAGGTCGTTGGAAAAGTTTCACTCCAACTGGGACCACTTCAAATGAACTAAGACAGAGCAACAGCAAGTCATTTGGAAAGCTGTGAGTTTCCAGCCTGCTTCATTCTGGCAATTCTTGAGTCAAAGCACTTGTTGGAACCAGCCTGTTCCTGTCTGAGAGCTTTCACTCCAACAATCGCTGGCATTTTCTAATGGAAATATCTTTTCTTGAAAGATTCTGAGCTGTTTTACCCTGGACTCTGGAGCTGTCTTCTGGGGGCTGTCCTGGGCTTGCCTTGCATGTGCCTAGCCTAGTCCTGTCTTAGGAGATGTCTAGAATCAAGTCTCATCTCCAAAACTGCTGTTCAATTTAGCAGGCTGAGGGCAAGTCTGGGTTGAGACCCTCAGTTAGGATCGCTGGGCAGCAGGTGCAGATTAAGGGTGTGGGTACATCTCACCTTGGGTGGCCACTGCATAATTCCTGACTATCCATTGCTAGTCGTCATTGTTCACACCCCCTTCAAAATAAAGCCTCTGGGTCCCCTTTCTGGTCAGCTTAGCCCCTTGCAGCCTATGTGAAACTGTAGCAGGGTGAGAACAGTCCCTCTGTTACCTGTAGGATCCACACATGGCTCGGTCCCCATCCACGAACATGAACTTCTGGGCCAAGGCACCTTTGAACTTGGTGGCCGATCGGGTGAAGAACTCGGTTCCCCCAGTGCTTCGAACACGGAGATGCTGCAACGCAAAATCAAGCAGCCCATTGGAAAGATGCCTTGGGGTTGGCAGCCAGGGGCTGACAGCTCTTCCTATGTGGACTGGGGTCTAGCCTCAGTTGTCCTGGTCGGCCCCTTGTTTAGGTTGTCCTGTCGTGCCTCCCTCCCTAGCCTGGATTTGGGCATCAATTTGGTTTTGCTCCACTGAATTTTCACGCTTGGCACCGAAACTCGGCTTGGCCCCTGACCTGAATGTGGAGCTGCAGCATTTACCTTCAAAGCAGCATTTAGCTATCTGCTGAGACACCGGCTGACTAACCAAGCCTCGCAACTCCTCCCAGAGGTGGCTCCGTGTTATCCCCCAGGGCTCCGGTGTGAGCCCGGATGCTGCCTGATCAACCAGCCTGCCCAGGACCACACAGCGAGTCAGCAGCCGGGCTGGGGCTTGAGTTCAGGAGCAAACTGCCTTTCTGTAGTGTCTAGTGTGTTGTCACGCAGCTTCTCCACCCCTTGCATAGTGCTTCTCAGTCCCTTTGTGCTATGCTGTATAGTCTTGTGGGGTAGCACGCATGCGATAACTGATAACACTGAATTTTGCAAGCCCCGAGGGGTGTCTGCACTATACTAGTCCATTAGCGAGCACCCCCCAGGATGCGTGCACTGACCCAGAAATGGTGTAGCTGGCAGGGTGCAGCACTGGGTGTGCTCCCATGAGCTCTCCCAAGAGGCAGAGCCCGCCCCGGGAGGTCTGGCATGTGATATGTGCTGGGTGTGCAGCCATGTCTCAGTGCTGGTACCCTTTTGCATCATCCTGGGACGGTACAGGGATGGGCTGTGTTTAGGGGCCTTTGGAGTCATTCATGGAAAGGCAGTGAAGTGACTGGTATCTCTAATACCCCCCTGTTTTTGAGGGCACCCCTGCCTTGAGGGTCTGTATCAGATCACTGCTTTAACAGCATTCAGCTGTTGTCTTGGGAAGCCCCCTGTACTTGCTTGGGGCTAGGGGAAGCTGAGTGAAGGTCCCAGGTCCATCTTTCCTGGGTTGTGGGTGCTACCTAACAGACCTAGGCAGGGCTGTCAGCACCAGGCACCAAGGAGTTAGAAATAGCTGTCAGCACCAGTTCCTTTTGCAGTTAGAAATAGTAGGTTGTTACCCTGGCAGGGCCTGGCCATGAAATGGAGACACAAGCACACCTATTGAATCATCTGGGCGTGCAGGTGATCCCTTCCCCACATAAGACCCCTTCCACCTTTCCCCTACAGCCGAGGACTGCAACACCTTTTTGCACTTGCTGTCATCACCCTCCCTGCCATTGTCTATGGGTCTCGTGAAGGCCCTTAGCGTAGGGAACATGTTCCCTCTAAAACCAGCTTCGTTGCTTCTGTTTCCTCAGGTATATATTTAACATGAATTCATGTTACAGCTCCTAGCAAAAGCCCCTGCTGAGCTCAGAGCCTCCTTGCACTAGGTGCTGGGCACAGTCCCAGTGTCTGCTGGCTCGAATTGCTTGTGGCCTCACCAAAACAGACAAAGGCTCAGAAGGGAAACAGAGGTACAGGGAGGTGAAGTGGCCTGCCCAAAGCCACCCAGGCAGCCAGTGGCATAGCCAGGGATGGAGCCCAAGTGTCCTGTGTTCCCGTCTGGAGTTTTATCCAGACTTTTAGCCTCCCTATAAAAAAATCTCCCAAAGGCCCATAACGCTGGTATTAGACCCTGCTCCCCCCACCCCATTCCCTCCCCTCATTGGCTCTGACGGGGTCTCTGCTTTTATCCTTCTGGACTGTGACCCCTCAAAGCACTTAAGCCTGTGCTTAACTTTGAGCCTGCTGACTCGGGGCTGTGAACCTGAAGAGGGTGGGTTCAACTGCTGTTTCCACTGGGGCACTCGGGTCCCGGGGGGAGACACCAATTTACAAAGGCAATCATTAGTTGTGTGACTCCCAAATGTCTTAACATCTGATCCTTCCATGGTGACTGCAGAGTTGCAAGGCAAGCAGCATAGTAGCATGGGAGGGGGGCAGCCTGACAAGAACCTGCTGCCCTATGCATGAAGTGCATTGATTTGCAAAGGTCTTATCCCTCTAATTTGCATGTGCTGAGCTGGGATCAGCTTTGAGCCAGTTGCAGCAAACTGAGCCAGGAATGGGCCTTCAGGACGGGCTCCGGGGAGAACCCAGGGGGTGACAAGAGGCAAGATGGTTGGATGTCCAAGGCTGGTTGTTTAATGCTGCCCTGCGACCACTTCTGCACCCATGCAAACAAGCCGGGCTTGGCTTCACCCCACCTCACGCCACGTTGTGCCAGGCCCTGCTGGCCTCCCCACTTTCCCAGTGATTTAATGCAGCTGCTTCTGAACCAAAGCTTTTCTCCAGTGCACAAAGGGCCCCTAAGCCATTCTCAGGTAACACGCAGCAGGAGCAAAACACCCGCAGCCAGGGGTGTGCTTTACTTCCCTTCCTCCCCACTTCTCCACGATCTATTAAGTCGGATCTGCTTGCTTAATTAGGAGCGGGAAGAAAAGCTGGAGCAAGAGCGTGAGCATAGCCCAGTGGTGTGGCTCTGAGTTGTGAGTCACTTTACAAACAAGTCGCCAGTTGCTTAATGACTTGCCCGCGTTACCGTCACTGGCACGCTCCTTGCCAAGCACACTGCGCTGGCTTGTTAGATGCGGAGAAAACAACCAGCACTCCTGTGGCACCTTCCACCTTGCCCAGTGTCTTCCAGGGAGAGACTTAGGTTGGAGTTGAACCTCTGGTCCCCTCCACAGCCAGGCGCAGTTGTTTGTGCTGACCCAGGCTTGTCCTCTGCCCCCCCAAGACTCTGCTTATGTCCCAGGGGATGCTCACTAGCACCAGCTCTTGCTGGATCTTCCCTGAGCTGAAACAGTCTTGCCCAGCTCAGCCTGGATTGAGGGGTCTTTGACGTGGCTTGGCTAATTCAGTGCTAGCTGTTATGATGGACAGAGTTGTTTGATCCTGGGGCTGTACCTCCCCGCTCTGGTAACTGCCCCCTCTCTGCCTGGGTGCC